CAGCCTAAGACAGTATTCTTCAAAGATGTTAAGGTAGTGAAAAGCAAAGAAAGGCCTAGAAGTTGTATCAGATTAAAAGAAGACTAGAGAGATCTGACAACTAAATTCAGTGAGTGACCCCAGATTGGATCCTGGACGAGAGGGAAAAAAAAGAGAGAGAGACTATAAGGGATGTTATGGGTACAAATGGAAAATTTGAGTATTACTGATATCATATCATACTGTATCATACTGTATCTAGTTAAACTTCTTGAGCATGATAATGACACTGTGGTTATGGAAGAACCACAGTATATTCTGGAGTTCTTAGAAAGTACTCCTTTATTGTTCTTAGAAACTACACACAGATGTATTTAGCAGTAATGGGCATGGTGCCTGTGTGGTGTCTCTCAAATGGCTTCAGAAAAATGTCATGACCAGGGAGAGAGGATGACAAACCAATGTGGTGCAATGCTACAGCTGGTGAACCTGGCAGAAGGGCTTACAGGGGTTCTTGGTACTATCCTTGCCAACTTTAATGTAAAGTTTCAAATTATTTTAAAATAAAAAGTTAAGATATAAATGTTCAAACTAACAAAAATACTTGGTAGAAAAAATGAGCACCTTCACTAGACAGCTCGCCCAGACCTACATCTTCCTGCTCCATGAACAGCTTGGATCCAATTAAATAAGGTAAGGGGCGATCGATGTACAGGTCCTGTAAACAACGACAGAGGAAAAGTCATTCCAGAGGCTGATAAATAAAAGTAGGTGCTTCACTCGACCTCTTGCTCCGTCTGACTACCCCGAACAAGTTCGTAACAACAGTGGATAATAAGAAACACTTCAGGACTGAAGGCAAAAGAAAAAAAATTTCACTGATTTAAAAAAAAAAAAGTGAAATTCTGGGTAAAGATGGCAAAGTAAAGCTAGGCCCCCCCAAAACTATGGCCCTGGATGCTCTGTTAACCCAGAACTGAAACCATTCCCAAAGCCCACTCCTCAGACAAAGATTAGACAAGACTACAAGACAAAAATAACACACGTGAGGAGATACATGGGACCAAATGGGCAGCTCCTGTCC